ACAAGGATATCTTCCACTGTTGTTCCATTGACAGCCAAAAGCTCAACCACAGGTGAAAAAGGAAAACTTTTTAATTAGAATACCATAAGAAGATGATGCTTATGATGAAGCTGCTCATGTCATGTAACCATAACCAAGCAATTAAGCCATTTTCCCACTAACCCATGTGACTATGAATCAAGAGGAACAGTGGGGTGGTGCCCATTTCTTTATTATTCTCTCCATTTTCCTTCTTTCTATGAGTCAACCAAATTAGGAGACCGTACTACTATACTATAATATATACTCCTTCCTTCACATCCCCATATGTTCCCATTTAAATAATCTATCCCCCACCAACTATATTCTCTCTAACATATTAAATTAACATATCTTGGTATCAAATAATTTACTCCTTTTAGATATGTGTTTGTGCAAAAATCTTTACTTTCATCCTCGTAAAATAGCAAGTGTCTGGCATGTTCAGCTTAATGCTCAAGTTTGACGTATGATGATAAATGTAAAAGAATAAAAATTCAATATTTGCATGAAGAATAATAGATATCTGAAATGGTTTTGTGAAAGTTTTCGATGGGTCAAATGATCATATCTTTATTTGATACAAGGGGTTGAAGAGAATTTGATGAATTGATGTGCACGGCCAGCTAGGCTTCTTGATTTGAGCTAGCTTGTGGTAGAGGAATAGTTGTGCGTAGTTGTCATGTGATAGGATAAAGACGTGTCGGGTCTAAGTTAAGATCATGTTTCAAACTAAACATTATATCATGAGTAGAAGAATTTTTAGAAGAATCTCTTTGTTTGAACTATAGCAACAAACATTAATGGTGTTGGATTAATTAAAGATAAGTATGTGAGGCAAATGGACAAATTTTGCCTTACCCTATAATAATGTAGTCCTACTTATGGTTACAGAAAAATCAATTAAATTTTCTCTCATTAAATTTCTGTATGAATGATGTTTTAGATATGACATTACATGAATGGTATGAGAGGTAATAATTAGGGGGGAAAAGAACTAATAATTAATTAAAAAGGGAGTAAAAAAGATGAACAATAATTAAGATGAGTAATACATGAAAATTAACAAAAGAAAGAAGCCAAGCCAATAATGACGTGGCCCTCGGTTTCATTCTCGATTGAAACAGCATCTGAAAAAAAGCTCATCTTGCCGACTTAGAGATAACTATTATTTATTATTTTAATTAAAAAAATAAATTTGAGAAAAACACCCCTAAAAAAAAGAAAAAGAAAAAGGAAAAAAAAGTGATATTATTGTTCCCCCCACGCTCATCCCAAGCGTGTGTTGGTTTTATCCACTACATGACAAAGTAGCCTTTATTTAAAAATTCTGCACGCGCTACCCATGTGACTCTGCAAAAAATTAAAATATATTTATATTTAATAAAGGAACAAAAATTTAGTTACGCTTACGCTTTATATTTATGAATTTTGGTATATAATAATTTTTTAAGGAAAAGTGGAATAAAGGAGTTAATAATCAAGTATTTCTAACAAGTGGTAAAATTAATACTTGTCTAATTTTTTTTTTAATTATTCGAAAACTAAGCAATCAGTCTCCCGTAACAAAACAAACATAACATCCAAAATCCAACAAAAATTAGCTAAAAAAACATTCAATCCCAACTAGAAAAATAAAAAAAGAACATTACATAAATCCAGCTATCAAATTAACATTCACAATAATAGTATCGAAGGCAGAAATCAATTTTATTAAAATAAGAAAATCAACTAATGGGTGATAATAATTTGATTAGACTAAAAATTTAAAGCTAGATTTAACTTGTGGAAAGGAAAAAAAAAACAAAATTTCCTTAACTATATTGAAAAATAAAACTCTTTATCTAATCAAAGCCATCATTCCTAGGTGACTTATTAACATAAAATAATTTATATCGATTGATATATTTCAAAACGAGGGTATTCCTTTAAGAAAAATATTTAGGTGTCCATCGATCCACACCAATCTCTTGTTTATTATGTTAAATTTTTTTAAAATACAAGAAAAATATGGAAAGAAATATTTTATTTATATTTAGAAAAATCAAATAACTATCAAATTATTACTCATGGTTAACATAAAGATAGATACAAATTAGAATTATTATTTATTCGAGTTTTCCTTTGAGATTTGAAGTAGGTACTTATTTAATTCTAAAGTTTCAAAATGAAGTTTAGAATCTACATTTATTTGATCGTTGAAGTTTTAAAATGGATATTTTGGTCCTTGAAATTTAAGAAAGGATTCTTAATGGTCTAGAAAATCTCCTTTTAACCGTTATTGGGAAAAATATATAAATTTGCACTCTCAATTTGATTTAATTTTTTAAATTAAAAAGTTTCCAAGCTTTGCCAACGGGGAAATTCCATAAAGTTTTGTCTATTTTATTTGTATTAATTAATAACTTCAAAGTTCAATCCAATCAAAATCATGAACAATTTGGAAATTAGAAAAATATGCCTCTCTCTCTCTCTCTCTCTCTCTCTCTCTCTCTCTCTCTCTCTCTCTCTATAAGTGGATCTTCTTCATTTTTGTTATTAGTAAGAAGGCACAGTCGCAGCTGTGGAACATAACATAACATAAAATCCCAACCAGCTTCAGCTTTACAACTCCAAATTCCCTCTTCAATTCAATTCAATTATGGCCCTCGAAACTCTCCTAGTGAAGGTCAAGAACGCCGTCTCCAACCGCTTCGACGCCGTTCGGACCTCCTCCACCGCCGCCGCCGCCAACATCAAACCGACGTCGTCGTCGTCTAAGAAGAAATCGGCAAACGTCGGCGTTTTGGCGTTCGAGATCGCCGGCCTGATGTCCAAGCTTCTCCATCTGTGGCAGTCTCTCTCCGACGCCAACATTGTTCGCCTCCGCAACGAATCCGTGTCTCTCGAGGGAGTCCACAAGATCGTCTCTAACGACGACGCTTTCCTCCTCGGCCTCGCCTGCGCCGAAATCACCCAAAATCTCCGACTCCTCGCCAACTCCGTCTCCCGTTTCACCTCCAAGTGCGACGACGCCACTCTCCGCTCCTTTGATCGCTTCTTCCACGACTTTGCCGATTCCGGCCGCGATCTTCATAATTGGGTACGCCTTAAACTCAAATCAAATCCCCGCTATTTTTAAAACTTACATAAATTTTAATCTTTTTATTCACATTCTTAACTCTCTCAATTCTTCTAGTAAAAAAAAAAGGAAAAAACTTTCTCAATTCTTGCCTAGGAAGCTTATATAAATTAAATTTATCCGATCATCGGCTCAAGTTTTTTTAAGTCAGGGAGATCGTGTTTGAACTCTTAAATGACCCGTGTTGAGGTATACTATATAAATTAAATTTATCCCACCGTTAAAAGTTTTTTGAGTTAGCCTTAGTTTTTAACATGGTATTAGAAGGAGATATTGTTTGAACTCTTAAATGGTTACTTCCTCCCAATTTAAATTATAATTTTTGCTTGTTGAATTTTGCTACATTTTTCAATTAAGTCGCAAGGGAAGGATACCGGTATGAGTTAAATTTATCCAACTATTACTTTAAGCGGTAAAAAAAAAAAAGTCACCGTCACCTGTCGTCCAATTATTCTCAAAACCAATTAAAGTAGAGTAGTTCATGTTTATAGGGGGTGCTTAACTTATCACTAAATCTGAAAGCCACGTTATTAGCTGAGGTTAAATTTTGTATATTGTTTTGGATGCATTTATTGATGGATGATACTTTTTTGGTGAACAGACATTGAGCGAGAAAGAAATGGAGTGCAGGAACAAGAGGGTGGAGAGATTAGTCACAGTCACAGCGACTCTCCACAGAGAAATGGACGAGCTTACAATAATGGAAACTGGTTTAAGAAAAGCAGTGGCAAATTTGCAGTCATGTCAACAAGAGATTAGCAATAATCCCTCATTGGAGACCTCACTCAAGGAACAAAAAATCCTCGATCTCCAGCACAAGATTTTGTGGCAAAGGCAAGAAGTTAAATATCTCAAAGAAAAATCCCTATGGAACAGAACTTTCGACACGGCTGTTTCGATTCTAGCAAGGTCAATTTTCACCACTCTAGCAAGAATCAAACTTGTCTTTGGTTTGGCCCAATTCCCATCTTCCCTCCCCCGCTGCCTCTCCGCCTCTGCCGCCGTCCACCCGCTCAAGAACCTGACCGAAACCGGGAAGGATTTTTTGGTGACCAAAAACGCATTCTTCGAGTCCAATTCTAAGCTCCTGAAGCCGCCCCCGTCCACTCTGGGAGCGGCGGGGTTGGCCCTGCATTATGCCAACCTGATCATAGTCATGGATAAGATGATTAAATCACCGCAACTGGTGGGCGTGGACGCTAGAGATGATCTTTACTCGATGCTGCCGAACAGTGTGCGGTCGGCGTTGAGGGGGCGGTTGAGAGGGGTGGGGTTCACGGCGAGCGATCCGTCGCTGGCCGGAGAGTGGAGGGAGGCGTTGGGGAGGATATTGGGGTGGCTGTCGCCGTTGGCACAGAACATGATGAAATGGCAAAGTGAGAGAAGCTTTGAGCAGCAAAATTACAATATGGCGCCAAAGACTAATGTGATGCTTTTGCAGACGCTTTATTTTGCCAACAAAGACAAGACAGAAGCTGCCATTACAGAATTGCTTGTGGGTTTGAATTATATTTGGAGGTTCGAAAGAGAGATGACTGCTAAGGCTTTATTTGCTTGCAACAACTTCATTAGCAGCTGAAGATTTGGGGAAAAACTTAGATTTTTTTTACTTCTAATTTTTGCTTGGAAAATTCTCATCATTGGAAGTGGACAATGATCTTGCCTCTTCAGATCCATGAGCGTTTGTTCTGGCTCTTTAACTCTGCAGATGTATATTGTATATTTTATCATACGAAGTATGTAAATGACATGATGATTTAATATGAGAAATCTAAAGGATGAAGAGGAAAATGATGGGTTTTTCCATTATTATATTATTGTTGGGGCATTCATCTTTCAAGTTTGAGTTTAGTGCCTATTTGATTCTTGGAAACATAACGTTTTAGGCTCCCCTCGTGTATCTCAAAGAGGAGCGAGGGTGAGGGGGTCGAAAAGAGCGAGTATGGTAAGCTCCCAGAGAGGGTGAGGGAAATCGACTATTTGATTCCCAAGTGACTCATGTTGAGCTTAAGATGGAGTAAATTTACACCTTAAACAAAAAAGGAAGAGACTCAATAACGCACTAATAGACACTGAATCGCTTACTAAGCTCTATCTACATTCATTTAATATTATTCGTTGATGACGCCAAAGTGAGCATAGCTCATCAGTAATTGACATATATCTCAAACCAATAGGTTATGAGTTCAGTTTGATCCCCCACCCCTTGATGACTGGATTTTTATGCGATCTTCGTTCTCTTGACTTTATTTTCTACCTAACTAATTGTAGGTGGTTTGCTCTTTTGATAAAAGTGTAAAGAAAAATCTCAAATATTTGAATAGAGATTACATCGTTGGAATGTAAATACACACACGAAAATGTTTAAATTATTGAATGAATGTCACTCAATTATCTAAAACAGTTGAAAAATTAACTTTAAAAAAGAAAAGGAGAAAAATATTATTCATATGAGAATGAGCTGTAAAGGGGAAATTATGATCAAGACATAAGAAGTTGTTAAAATGGGGCCACACTCTCTCTAATGTTTGTAATTTAGTTAATGGAAGCTCTCAAATCCATTAATCATCACATAATTGGCCTTTCTTTTCCTTATTATTTATTAATATTTTTCTTAAACCCCACTTCCTCGTTGAGCTGCTAAAGTGATAATATGTCCTTTTTAGTGAACCAATATATTCAATATTCTCATCTTGCATTAAAAGTGAGAAAAAAAATGAATATTCCTAATTTATAAAGTATATATTAATTATGGTCTATGCTAAATATTAATTATTTGATTATTTATAAATTAATCAATCAAAACGAGTATGCAAAGTTTAGTTTAAGATTAAAATTTTAAATTGATATTTTTGCAACTCTCAATTGTTTAAAGTTTGGTTACTAATTGAATATAAAATCTATCGTGAAATTATAAAATATATTGTACCAAAATTTGGATAACATCGGAGATATACATACTCATGGCCAATGGGCCTTGCTCATATTTTAAGCCCTCGGGCCTCAACTGCCACAAAAGCAGCCCATGATAAAAATAAATTATTTTTAAATATGTGATTATTTTTATAATTTCTAAGTTCCCAAAGACAAATCGAATGAAGAAAAAGTTTTCAATAACAAATATGGTATCAATCAATTCGAAAACAATTACACCTTACCATAATATTTAATTGAGAAAATTGGAGATTCGTCCCATTGAAATCATGAAGAGAAAATAGAAGATGTTCTTCAATTAAATTTGAAAAGTAATCAATAAAAAACTATAAAATAATAGTTAAAATTATTCACAGTTTTGAGTTTATAAAGGAAAAAGGAAAGAGAGAATCAGAGCAAAAGATTCTGAAATTTCAACGAAATTTAAACTCTGTGCTGAAGCTTATCTCCCTTGATTTCGACGTTCTGTTTGGCCAATCTCTCTCGCTCGATTAACTTCATATCGACGCCGCATCCATGTTCTTCCCGGAATCTATGTCTCCCGCAAAACAAACCACCACACCGGCAGTTAAACCCTAACAATCCGACCTTCTTGTTGCAGAGGCCGCACCTATTTTTTCTGGCCGGCGCATTCGAATTGGAACTGGAACCGGAACCCCCGGCGGATCCAGACGGAGGAGTTCGATTTCTGACGGAATCTGAGCAGACTTGTTCTTCCAATTTGAGAGAATCTTCAACGTTCTGCCGCCGTTCCGAGATCAGATTTTCTCTGAGAAAAGCAGCGTAGCAGAGGGAGCATAAGTTGCGAGTCTTCGGATTTCCGAAAAAGCCACAGTTGTTAGCGCACAGTGGTGGATCGCCATTGCTGGAATTATCTGAACTTCCGAATCCATCCATTTGCTTCCGATCTTCTTGGTTCTTGTTCTTCTCCAAAAATCAATTTGCGTGGTGAGTTTCACAAATTGCTCTGTAATTTGACCTTCATATGGAGATCGCGATCGCCATTATAATCCGATTGCTAAAAGGCGGTAGGGATTCAACGAGGAATCGCATTTGGATTTATAGGGAAAGAGAGACTTGGGTTGATTTTCATTTTGACTTGGGTAAAAGATCTTTCAAGTAAAGTGGATTTAACTCTTATCTTTGTACTTTTTTAAACCACTTTCAATTTTTGAAATTAAACGCCCTAAGCATTTTCAAAATAAATTAAATCGACTAAAAATCAAATCCAAATATGAGTATATTTTAAAAAGAGAGTTAAATGTTGTTCTTTTAAATTTTCAACTTATTATTATGTTATTCAATAAGAAAATAAATAAATAAAAAGCGAAGTTAGGTTCAATAAAAAATAAATAAATAAAGAGCGAAATTAGGTGAACTCAAAAGTGAAATAAAAAGCAAATTAGGTGTTCTTTGCAACAAAAACCATATCTTTTGTAATATTATTTTTGGATTCGTTCCCTAAAATTATTTTTTTTCTTTTTTAGTTCAACAACACCTATACATACGTGGGTCAGATTCAAACCTTCAACCTTTCTTTAGCAAAATTTAATGTGATATTAATACATCTTACTTGTTATCAATTTTGTGCAAACAAAAAGGTTTAGAGTGTGTCTCGTGGGATATAAAAAAAAAAGAATTCAATAAAAAATATATATTATATATAATATATTATAAAAGCTCTACTTTTGATTTTTCATCTTCCTACTTTCAAATATTATATTTTGTCACTAAACTTGGTATAAAAAATCATATTAATTTGTCATTAATGATTTACAACCCATTTAAAAGTACTATATGTATATATATGTATATTATATATATTTTTTATTTATCCAATATTTTAGATGGTTATGTAGATAGGTTGAAGCCAACATTTCAATTTTTAAAAATAGATTTAGATTTTCTTTGTTAAAACTGTGAACAAAAAGATTGTCAACAACAATAAAAAAAAAATTATACCAAATTTAAGAATTAAATCAAAGCAGTTAAAAGTCTAGAGACTTAAATAAAATGGTTAGAATTTTATTGGTTAAATTAAATAGTAATCAAAATTTAGGAACTAAAATAAGAATTAAACTAATTAAGATTTATTTAAATTGGTAAGTATCTTACATAGAGTCTGATCTTATATTGATTGATCCATTATGACTTGAGATAGTTTTTCAATATCTAAAAGTTAACTTTTAATTTTTCAATATCTAAAAAATTAACTTCTCATTGATTGAGGGTGGGCTTTGCAAATCTTCTGACTCAATCACTTTTCAAAAAAAAAAAAATCATAAAATACTTTCTATAAAAAAAATTAAAATAATCTTAAAAGCGTATTTAGATTGGTTTGAGAGCTCAAATCACTCCAGATATTGTCAAAATCTTGGATGTTTGACACATTAAAATTTTGATTTTAGAAAAGTTTAAAATTATTTTAAATTGATTTTTAGAAGATGGTTTTAGAAAATTAATTATACTTAAATCTATTTTTCCAAAATTACTAACTCTATCCTCACTTCCAAACACACCCTTAATTATATTTTCTTAAAAATGATTTTAGTCCTAAGATAGCTTTTTAAAAGTGACTTGAGTCTTAAGTTAGTTTGGTTGTACTACTTTTAAAATTAATTCTACAATTTTCAAATTAATCATAAAGTGACCTTCATGAAATATTATAAGTTAGTTTGTAATTGATCTCAAATTTAATATTACATGTAATTGTAGTTTGTGATTGACCCTTAAAGTTAAATGTGGGGTGATATCAAATCTTCGATAAGTTAATAACTAAAGTACGTTAATCATGATGGGTGGCTAAGAAAGCAAAAAACATATATCTTTTTTAGTTGAAAATAAAATTTGTTATCAAAACAGATTTCCAATCAATGCCGTATAGACTTTTATTCAAATTACTGAAGAAAGGCTAAAAAGAATTCCTATTTGTTAAATCTTAAAAGAAAGAAAACGAAATTACGTATTAAGATAAAGTTCAACTCAAATAAAAAAGTATCGAGTTCTTGAGAATGGAGATGAACAAAACATAACTATAGAAAAGAACTCTCCATTGAATTTGAATATCCACAATGACAATAAGAGGGAAAATTAATTTACGGTAATATTCTCAAAAGGAAGGAAAAAGAACAAAACTATTTTCAGCAAATTCCTTCGAACTAAACCCTAAATTCCAATTTATCGGCCTTACATTCCACTATTTGCTTCTCCAGAATCTCCCGGCCGATGGCCTTGCGATCGACGCCGCACGAATGCTCTTCTGGATGCCTATGTCTGCCGCAAAACAAACCTCCACACCGGCAGTTGAATCCCAACAATCCGACCTTCTTCTTGCAGATCGTGCACCTATTTTTGGTTTTAGGCGCCGGATTACTCGAACCGGCCTCCGATCCAGAGGTTGCAGAACTAGTACTCTCCGATGCCGATGCCGACGCCGGCGCCGGAGGAGAAGACTCTCTCGTTCCGAAATCTGGTGCTTCGTCGTGAACTCCAACGAGCTCTGCGCCAGGAACGACGTCGTGTGAGCTCTCTCGTCGTCCAGAATCTTCGCCGGTTTCTTTGAGGGAAGCGGCGTAGCAGACGGAGCACAGGTTTCGATTCTTCGGAGTTCCATAAAAGCCACAGTTGTTGGCACACAGTTTTGCATCGCTTGCACTTCCAGATTCAGACATTATCTTCCGATTCCGATCTTCTTCTTCGTGATTCTCAAGTGGATTAGCGCGCTTACTGCTTCGTCCTCGTGTGAGAAATCGCTCAGTCGTTTGAATTTGCTGTATGCTGCAGCTTCACACTCCATTATATAGAGATCGAGTTTAGAATTATAGTACAAAGTTATAGGATTTTAATTCCAAAAGAAATCGGATTCTAAATACTAAATAGAATTGGTCATATAAGTTAACTTCTGATATTTTGTTTTATCTATTTATTTTCTAAATTATGTTTTCTTTTTTCGTCATTATTTAAAAAAAAAAAAGATTGCTAAAGATGTTTTTAGACCTATTTTCAAACCATAGTTTATACTTTATTTAATCAATAATTTTTTATTAATATTAAAATAATATTTATGTTTAAAACTAAAAGGAGTTCAATTAATTTTTCAAAAAAGAAAAAAAAAAGAAGGAATTCAGTTCAACCCCCATCAAAAAGCCCGAGCCCAATTTAAACTCGGCCCAAAATTAAAGTTTATACTTTCTGGACTAAGTTTAGCCCATAACTTAATACAAATTACTATATATTATGTTTTATTATTTTTTAAAAATAATTTCTTTTTTGAAAATTTTGATGGGAGACAATTTACCTACATTACCATACTTAAAAATATAGCAACAAGATAATTTGTAAATATAGCAATTTTTTAAACTTTTTGTAAGCCTATTTAAGCTATTACATAATTCATTATTTACCTTCTCATATCAATCTATCAATGATAGATTGATAGACGTGAATTAGTAATAGATGTCCATCACTAATTGATAATTGGCATCTAAATTTGAGACACTGCAGGAGAAAAAAACTACCACCAATTTCAATGCTATTTTAATACTATATTTTAGGGGTGAAATTATTTCGGGTTAGGTCGGGTCATTTCCGTTTTTTTTTTCCCTCTTCTTCTTCCTCGTCGAAGTTCCACACCTTTGCACCTACAAAATTAGTGATTTTGATTTTGAAACCCACTCCTACAAATATTTCCATTAAAGTACAAAAACCCGCCCCAAAATCTGCTTCTTCTACCGATCTTCTATTCATGAAAGCCCGCAACAGATCTTTTTCTTCCTTAGTTCTTCTTTACATGAAAACCCACAAAAATCAACTTAAGATCTCTCGGATCTTCCAAAAACCCATTTCAAATCTTCTTTTCAAAATCAACTTCCATGAAAATCCAAGAAAACCCACCTCTAATCTTCTACTTCAGATCTTCTTCTTCTTCACCAAAAACGATCTTCATTAAAACATCGCCACCGCGGATCTCCTTTTTGTCGCCGACGCATTTGGAAGGGAGGGAGGTGCATTTGGGACGAGGGAGGGAGGGAAGAACGGCAGCCACAAGGGTTAGGTTTATAAAGGTAGGGTTCGGTTTGATAAGAAATTGGTTTTTATAGAACCGAACCAACATGATATCGATTTTAACCAAACCAAACCGCCTCGATTCGATTCGAGAACTTACGCCTCTACTATATTTAACGGTCAATTATAATCCATTTGGTAACATTTCTGTTTGTTGTTACTTGTTTCACGTTTCCAATTTTTGAAAAAATAAATTTCATACAAAACTTACTTTTTTTTTCAAAAATTTCATACAAAACTTACTTTTTTTTTAATCTAAAATTTTATAGAACAAGTAACAATAAATGGTAATCAAACATGTATCTATTTATTCTTTCAAAAAGAAAAACAAGAACAGTTACTAAATGTAATTCTATATATTTTTTTAATTGAAAAAAAAAAGAAACGAAAAACAAAAACAGAAACATTACCAAACGAGCCCTTTAATTTTCTTTATCCTTAAAAACAGTGCAAATAATTAATCACATGCCCTCTTCATTATGACATTTAGATGTCATCCTCTTGCCTTCCTATAATTCTAAAATTAAAAAAAAAAAATCCAATAATTAATCACATGCACTTTAAACTATCTCTAAACCATCCTATAATCAAGTTATTATAAGTAAGCTAGAAACCCCAACATCTCTTCATACCCCATTTGGATCTCTCTTTTCAGTGCCTCTGCATGGAGTTTTCCGTTCCCCTGCTCCCAATATCACTTTTTGAGCCAACTTTGTGGCACCTTTAGGGGATCTTCAAGGACAAGCACTCAAATTTTAACACTTCTTTTTTACTTTTTATTATTTGCTACTTCCTCCTGGTGTAATTCTCCACCTCCCACCTCCACCCCATGCTAACTTCCTTTGATGGGAGTGGCCATCCTCCCCATCAATGAAATTTCACTTTCCTCTAAAAGAATAAGATATCAGTAAAGTAGAATACTAAGCTAACATTTGGATGCATATATGAGAAACTACAATCCTAAATGTTCAAAGAGGAAGCTAAGAGTCGGATGCGTAGTTTTTCATTATAAATAAAGTAGGTTCAAGTAGTTATCCTGTAAAATGAGTCGGAGTGAAATAATATCATTTAAATGTCTGAGATTCAATACTACGTAACATGTCTACTTTTACTTATGACTTCACATTAAGAACTAAATACGTGTTGTGCTGTGAAAGGCTATCATATTCACCTATGTGTTATATAAGATATGAGAAAATCTAGAGAGAGGAGAAAGGGATAGCGAGAGGTAACCTCGGTAAAATGAAGATTTGAAGCACGGCTTAGGACAACAAATCAAATTCTCCAATTTGGGCAAGCGCAAGAATGACTCCAACCTAAAAGTTGAGATAAAAAACCAGATTAGAAAATCATGAAACTCTGTTCTTAAAAAAAATTCAGTTAATCATGCACGTTGGCTCAAAGGCATCATTAATAAATCTAAGGACTGATAAATAAAAAATCAATGAATTGAGAAATAACTCAAGAAACAGCAAGAACCCTCTTTTTAATGTATAATGAATCAACGGCATGGAAAATTAGACATATGGCCTTACCCAAGCAGACGGCAAGCAAAATGCCACAGCAGCCAGCTAATATAGGTCATTTGTCTGAAATACAGAAAAAATAAACAACAAGGTTACTAGCAGTCCAAAAACAAAGCTAATAAGAGGCCCTGTTTATGAACTCACTTGAGACGACAGTTGCATCATCACCTTTAAAAAATGAGATACCATGGGAAGATAATCCAACTGTAGAAACGTTTTTCTATGCAGTGATAGCCACATGTGCTCACAGGTTATTCACAACATGTGTTTCATCTACATTGTCATTGATGCAGAAAGATCATTACCAATGTTCCAGGCATTAAGTCCTTTGACATACATCTCAGACAAGATTAACTGAGCTTCTTGAAACCTCCCCTCTATCTTAAGACCAGCAATGAGTTGATTGCAAACAGAGGAATTTAATAAAAAATGGTTTTTGAACATCTCTTTATACCATACATATGCCTCGCTGTAATCACCAAGCTCACAAAGTCCCTTAACTAGGATATTGTACGTATCAGCCTTAGGTGTCAACCCTCTCGCCTTCATATCATCAACAAGTTTCCTTACTTCGGTAACCTTACCATCTCTGAAGCATCCTAAAATCAAGTTGTTATAAGTCATCTTGTCTAATTGGACACCTTGATCTACCATCTGTTGGTACAAAGCAAATGCTTTCTGAACATCTTCGTTTTCAATGTAGCAGAAAATCAGGGCATTATAGACAACTCTATCTGGAGCAAGATCCATGTGTAACATTTCATTGAACAGTTTCTCTACTGTATCTAAACCAACCTTGCTACATCCAGAAATTAAAGGATGATACGTCATTAAAGTAGGATGGATGCCTTGCTGTTTCAAAGTTTCATATAACTCAAGACCTCTTTTGGGGTTCCTGGAATTACAATACCCAGAGATAAGGGAGTTGTATGTAATCACATCAGGTTTAAAACCATTGCTTGTAATTTGGTTGACCAATTCTTCTGCTTCAGTTACCCTCCCTTTTTTGCAGAGGCCATTGATGAGTGAATTGTATGTTGCAAGGGTTGGGGTGATCTCCCTATCAACCATTTCATCAAAAATCTTAAAAGCTTCTTGCATTTTCCCTAATGTGCAATTACAATCAATCAACATATTATAAACTTGAGCGTTTGGAGAAACTCCTTTACTATCCATGTCAGCAAAAATTACTTCAGCTTCAACAAATCTACCATCCTTGCACAGACAATTAATGAGAGTTCCATAGCTTACCACATTTGGCTTTACCCCTTTACTTTCCATTTCTTCGAGAACTTGGAAACATCTATCAAAAAGGCTCAACCGTCCATAACAATCAAGAAGGATGTTATACGTTTCAACACTAGGGCAAACTTCCTTCTCTATCATCTTCCTCAACCATTCCTCTGCCTTACCCAACTCTTTACTTTCACAAAATTTATTAATCAATGAATTAAAAGTGATGCAATTGGGTGTTAATCCTTCATTTTCCATTCGTTGAATGGTTGATATAGCACCATCAATATTTCCTTTTCGGCAGTATCCATCCACTAGTACATTATAAATTACCTCATCCGGAACTAATCCACTCATCATTAACTTCACCAGAATCTCCTCTGCCTTTTCAACCTTCCCATCTTTACATAAGCCATTCAACAAAATACAACAAGTATAATTATTTAGTCTCACTCCTTTTTTTATCACTTCTTCATACAGAACCATTGAGGCTTCACCATCACCAGACCTCAAATACCCATCAAAAAGTATGCTATATGTAAATCCATCTGGTGCAAACTTGTAAGCTTCCATCTCCTGCAATATTTTTTTGGCTTCCTCCATCTGCATTTCCTGACAGAGCCCACTTAACAATGAATTGTATGTTACAAGATTAGGTTCCAAATTTGCATGCTTCATCCTCTCCTTCAAAATAAAAGCTTTATCCAATTTTCCCGCCTTACAATATCCATTGATAATTGTATTGTAAGTAACCAAATTAGGGGACACATTTCTATTGATCATTTCATCAAACATCTTCTCTGCATCAATCATCCTCTTCTCTTTGCAAAAGCCAGAAATTAGAACGTTATAAACAAACACAGTAGGACGAACCCCTATCTTCCACATGCAATACACCAAATCACAGGCCTTATTCATCTCCCCTAGTTTTATTGCTGCCTCAACTGCCTTACCATACATGAAACCATCTGGTAGGATACCAGATTCAACAAGTTCAGAAAATAATTCAAGTATCTTTTCAAACTCTTTTGAAGACATCAACAGTTTAAATAGAACACTGAGGGTAGCCACAGTAGGAACAACACCATTTTTCTTCATTGAGGTACATAATTCTATGGCATCATTAAGCATTTTGAGATCCAAAAATGCCATTAACAACATGTTTGAAAATACATGCTTCAAGGATGGAGAATGGACAGAAAAAAGTGCAATCAGATCACAAGGTGATGAGAAAGATGATTTGGAGAGAATGGCAGACTTGATGAGCCTCTTGGCAGCACCTGTACGCTCCTGTTGAAGTAAAATCCGGAGCTTCCGAACTAACTCATGGCCCAAAGGTTCTGGAAGGTTGGAGTGTTGATTTTTGGTGGTGGTCTCCAATGTAACTTCCTGATTGCTAGGAAACTGTTCAATTTGATTGGGGTTGTTCTGGGTAGAATCAGAGCAAAAAGAGTTCGAGGTGGGAATTAATGCAACATGTTGTGTTCTGAATTGTCTAAAGACAGGAATTCTAGATAAACAGAATCCATGCCTTCCCATTTTCAGCTCAAACAGTTGGTCAAAAACTTCTGGAAAGAAGCTAAAGTCTATTTTGCAATTGGAAGCAAAACCTTTTGAAACGTAACCATAATCCCATGTCTATATCCAACCACCTCATTTTCTGCCAGGAAAAAAAAGAACATTGAAAAAAAAAGATAGATATTTTAGATTTATACTACACATACAAACAGAAGTTTACCTCAAAAATCTAAAGATTTCCCAACCTATTTTTTCTCTTTTTTGAGAGATTTCATATCCAACCAAGAGAGGATATGTCAGACACTGATTCAGAATGATATTAGAATAGTGAAAATCTGAGATTTTAATTAGGGCTGCAGATCGGTTTCATTCACTGGGTCGAATCAGTCGGACCAACCGGTTTGACCCTAGACATTCTCGAGACCGAACCGAACCGGTTGGATTAAGACTAATATCTTGAAAGCTCCGTCAAATTCTCACTTTGATTAAAATTTGAAATAATGACGGACCAATTTGAGTAGTTTTTTTCATTTTTTCTTTTGATCAACAATTTGAGGGAAAGAATGGAAATTATATACTTACCGGAGGAGAGCGGCAGCGGGAGAGGCGGCTACGAGCTACGGCGGCGGTTGCGCGGAGGGTGGGGGTGGTGCTTCTGTGAATCGCAGACCGAGAAGGTGAGGGTGAATGAAGGCCAACTTAGGGTTGGGGTTTTGGTTTTTGGGCTGGGCTGGGCTGGCCCATTAACACAGTCAGATAATTTTCACAAAGCAGAGTTTTTTTTTTCTTTTTTTATATATATTTTTATATAATTAGAAACATGTGTAGTTTTTCTTTTTTTAGGGGGAGACATGTGTAGTGTTGGTGTAGTGATCGAGGTTTGGTTTGGTTCATTGATTTAGATCTTTCTCAAATCTCAACATTCGCAAAATTTTGAACTTAAATTACATATTTCATCTCATATTTCTAAAATTACATCTATCTACTTTGTCAACGTTGAAAAGTTTTAACCATGTTTATCATTAATATTAAATTACGAATATATCCTTGATCAAAGGATTTTCAGTCCCCACATATTGTTGAACTCAAATAAAATACTAATTCATGAGAAGGAATAGAAATAAATGGCGATTTTTTTTTTTTAACATTTACAAAACTAATATGAATTCTCCTAGCCCAAATTCCTACTTTAAAGACAATAATACATCATGGTAAAATAGAAGGGGGAAAAATCGAATGTTCAACTAAAAAGGGCCTAAATTAGTAGATTACTCCACATTACAACAAATCTGTAAATATTACCAGTAATGAGATCATCTACGATAATTTCTGAAATCTAATGGTTCTGATAAGACACAAACCTAGATATCCCATTTGGCTCTTCAATATTTCAACCCAACTTCTGGTTTTCTTAGTGGGAACCTATAAAATGGGCTTCTGCTCCATCAAAACCAATGAAGATTTTGATTGGTAAGGCCACTCTCATTTCAAAGAGCATCACAGTATTGTCTCATCAAAAGATCAGCCTACTAGAAAAATGTTTCAAGAATGGCAGAGGAGGAAGATACGAGCTGTGACTCAAGATCAAGAAGAAAAAGGAACTCTTATGGGTGCTTTTCACTTTACCCTCTACAATCATGGAGGATATGCATAAACTCTGCTATTTCTTGGCAATCTACACTTCAAACACCATTGTAACCCATCAAACTAGCGTCACCAAAACCTTTACCGAGTAAGAAAATCACGATAAAACACCCAATATAGACAAATCAAGCATATGTCAGTTTAGGCTCTCGAACCGAACCTGAAAGAATTTTTGGTCGTTCAAACTTCTGCTACCAAAAGAAAGGTTTATGTCATCAGAAATTCCAGAGTCAGCTTCAACTGTCGAAGCTAATGAGTTGCAGGAGCTCCACTAGGAGATTTGCAAGTTACAGCAATTTTTTTAATCCTTTCAATAACTATCAACAAATCATCTCGAGAAAGTGTAGTGAAACAGCATCTAAACCATCCGTGTTCTATGCAATGACAAGCAGATCCAGGAGTCGCATTAATTTTAGCTACATTGAGTAGCTTCTCCCACAATTCAAGTTCTCCTTTCTCACTATAAGAATGCATCAGTCCACTCATATCAGCCCAACAGAAAAAACCAGCACTGCTCTTTGCACACTTAATTCCCAACTGTTTCAAACCAGCCACAAAAAGAACATACATCTCTCGAATTCTCTTTCTGCTCGTCTCCAAGTATTCGTTCACAAAGGTTTTGTCCGAAAGCATCAAGGTTACAAGACGCTGGGTTGGAGCAGAAATTGGGCAAAATCTTGTCAATTTTCTAGCAGCAGCCAGAACGTTTTCATTTTGCGAATAGATGACACCAACCCTAAAACCAGGAAGAGAGAGGTCTTTTGATAGCCCATACACAATATGAACCCTATCCTTGTCGAAATCTTCTGAGTCAATAATTTCAGCCATGCTCACAAACTCCTCATTTCCATAAATTGATCCTGCAAATATCTCGTCAGATACAATGTGAATGTTCTTCTCTTGGGCAAAATCTAAAATATTGTATAGCATTTCTCGGGGCAACATGTTGCCAACAGGATTTGCAGGATTAGATAAGAGAATTCCTCGAACTTTTACTCCTCGTTTCCTGGCTTGATTGAATGCTTGCTCAAGAACAGTGATATTCAAATTGAAGTTGTCAGCACTGCGGCAGTGAACTGGTATTAAATCCACTCCAGTTCTCCACTTCATATCTCTATCGAAACTGCATATGGCTTTTCTAATTAAATAATTGCATACTTAGGTGGCTAAACTTCTTTTTCCGACACTAAACTTTTTCTTATCAAAAGTTTGAATGTAGTTGAGGAGCTACTAACCCGGGATAATAAGGAGTTGGAACAAGAAATGCATTTCCAGGGTCTGCTAAGCAGAAACAGAGTACCTCAACAGCGGCGGTGGCACCAGATGTTAACAATAAATTGGATGGATCAAAAGCAACTGTACCACCCATTACCTGAGACATGAAACCTGCCATAGCCTACAATGATTGTATTAGTTTCAAGACGAGAGCCTGGAACTGAGCGCTCATTAAATTTTTTTGTAATGATTGAGAAGATATTATTAGGAAAACAGTATTCAATATTGAAAGAGGAACGAACAAGAGAAGGGAACACAGCACGTTTAAGGAACAGCTACCCACTTCTTGAATAAGCCAAAAAGACAAAACAAAAAGAAATTGATACGATTCAAAACATGCAAAGAAGTTGGATGCATTAACTTGTATTAGAATTGTTATCAATAAATCCTATGAAGAATAATATGATTGGTTATGAAAGAAAGAGCAATATGCTTTAAGATTTTAAGTTTCCAATATCTCAATACATACCCAAGAAATTGTGAGTTCAGCTTCACATCAGTTTTAACTTGTAACTATCATTACGTTCATCCCTCTAAAGCCCTTTACACGGCAATGCAGCTATCAGGAAAAGAAAGCAGGACATGGACAAAAATACATATTGCATTTCACAGACGCGTTTTTGTGTCGTCAACTTCAGAGCTCATGCAGAGAAAGCAGATTAAACATAAACACAGACATTGTAATAATATCATTTTCAAAACAACACTTGAGCAAATTAAACTACATTCAGACTCACTCCTGGACTTAAAATCCAACATTACAGAACCGAAAGTTTGGAGCAAATACATGCAACCACCTAAAGAATAGATGAAAAAGACATTAAATATAAATACCATTTTCAACTCCCACAATCCATCAAAAGGCTGGTAAGTAGCTATCCCCGTAATATTCAACTCGACGCTATTGCCTCCGCTTATAGAACCGGTGTAATTTTCCGATATCCATTTCTCAAGCAAATCAAAGCACAGCTTCAACCACAATAAATTAAAGAAGATAGTGCTTCAGAAACAAAAATCTCAAAGAATTGAAAAAAGAGTTCGAAACAAAATATAAAGAATACCCTGTTCTCGGACAACCCAAGCTGAATAGTCCCGTTCGGATTGTCCAACCTATGGTATGGATCCTCAAGAACGCGATCCAATCCAATATAATAGGGAGAGTTATTGGGTTTAGCAATGGAGGTGGCTCGAGAAGAGAGCCGAACCCGTCCAATGGATCCACGGGCCAGTAAATTGGAGCGGGAAGATGAGCGCTGGAAGTCGACGAGGTTAGAGGAAGAGACAGAAGGGGAGGGAGGATTGGAGGAGGAGGAGTCGGAGTTGGGAGAACGGTTTCGCTTGAAATAGAGCTGGAGGAAGTAGAAGAGAGCACAAGGAATTAGAGAGCCCAGGAAGAGACCTCCGCGGCCTTGGACTACGCCTTGCAGAGGCACCACAAGCCTCATGGCGGTTGCCTCCGCCGCGCCTACAGGTCTGATATCGGAATTCCGAACTCCGGTCGTTTCGGGTCCACCGGAGACGCGGGTGGACGGCCGGCGGCGGAGGAAGTGGTGGAGCTTTCAATTTGGTAATTGGCAGATGAGCATGAGGTTGGCTGTAAGGCAAGCCTGTGACCCAAACTTCTTTTTTCTTTTTCTCTCTTTTTTGTATTCTTTGAAAGAAAAAAGAAAAACAAATTGTAATTGTAAGGCGAGAGGTGGGAGGGAACCTAGGAATCTGGATCATAGGGATGAGCTCCATGAAATGACGGAAATGTCCTTTAATTGTTAGATGCGATAGTCTAGACATAATACTTGAGTATTTATCAGCTCTTAACATTGGTAGGTTGGATGATACCTATTAATTGGTAATCATCTAAATATTATTCACGGAACTGAGTAGATATTAGATATGGTAAGTTTCAACATTAGTTTATTATTTATAATTACTTAATTAAAATTATTCACTAATTATCTATAATTAACTCATTTTTATCTATTTTTTGGGAATTAATTGGTAATAGTTTATTAATTAATCATAATTATATAAGATTTGCTGGATTAGTCTCATAAAACAATAACAAACATGAACTTCATTTAATCTGATAGCAAAAAATTAAAAATATCCTTTTTTTTTTTTTTGAGCATCTAAAGAAACCTTAACTCGTCCTACCATCACCTAATTGCATACAACAATGAAGTTTTGGTTTCATAATTTACTTTACTAAGAATTGTTCTCAAAAGTCAAAACCACCACTCCGTAAAGAGTAGTTTTCATTTGCAACCTTGTCACATGATTATTTATATAATAAATTGTATTTCTTCCAAGTTTAACCTGAATTATAACTTTAATATTAAAGCATGCATTATTATTCAACAAAACAAGGCTATGATTGTCACCAAATAGTGTCTTGCCAAAATCACAAAATCAAAAGAATGGTATCTGCGAAAATTTTGTAGACAGATCCAAATGAACCATTGCCTTGCCTTTTAAAATATAAAACAGGCACATGCATAAATTTTTTCAAAAAAAAAATGACAATAATTATTTAATACTTCTCTCAGGCATTCAATACTATAAAATTGAACGCATATAATATGATGGGGTTTCCAATTCTGATAAAGAGGATTAAATAATAAATATAGAATATGAATCAGCCATCAATTTAGTAACGTACACTGGTTATAATTTTAAATAGTGAGTATAGTGTTCCTCAAGAAGACATTTGAGAATCCTACAATTATCCTATTTACAGCTCTCAGAGAACTCTTATCTTTCTTTTCTCGCTTCCAAAAAATTATATGTACTTTTCTGTACATTTACCTAGCTGAGCTGAACCAATGGTGAAACTAAAAGCATCCTAGAAAAAGGGATTTCCAAAACCAAAATCTATTAAGGCTGAGAATTCGGCTCTGATATTCACAAACCTTTCAGAGAGGGGGGAGATGGCTATGCTAAGTTTAATGTTCAGTCACAACATTCTGTTGTGTGCTTCGATCATTGATGCTTTCTCCTGCAGAAGTAAAATTGGAAAAAGAAAAAAAAAAGAAAAAAAAAAGAAAATGGAAGTAAACAAACCAATCTCTTCCCACTAACCAAAATACTAAAAGGATGTGGAATCTAATCTAAAGAACCAGGAGAAAGAGAGAGACCTCGTTTTGAATGTTGTTTTCTGAGGGAAACCAATGCATGAGAACCCCTAAATTCAACACGGCAGGTATCAATTTGAACAGAAGAGGGGTGGTCACCTGCGCATCATTATTTAGACATTAAACACACTAGAAACAGTACAGACAATTCCACCTCCCCTAACTCACGTACAGGAGCAGGAACTTCACAGTACAAATGCAATATTAACTCACCAGACTAAGTGCTGTTGTTCCAAGAAGCAGCAGATAAACTTTCCCCTGCATTAAAAGTTGGAAATAAGAAAAGGTATTGATTAATGCCACTATAACACGAGTAATAAGTTGAATGAATCTGACATGCGATCATTCGGATGCATAAACGGAAAAATGAAGGTGGCCTATCAAAGGGAAATTACATGCCTGGAAAGTTCAGAAAGGAAGCTAAGAATTGGAGGCAATTTTTTTATTATTCGAACTTTACTGTTGCACGGTCGAAATTTCAAACTATTGTCTATTGTTGCAATAATATTATTTAAATGACTGGGACTGTAACTGATACTTGAGGCTTCACACCCAGAACTAAGTACGTGCTATGTGAATGCCTATCGTCAAATTTTGGTTGTCAGACACGGAGCAGATATGAGAAAATCTAGAGAGAGAGAGGTAACCCCAATGAGATGAAGATTTGAAGCACGGCTTAGGAGAACAAAAGCGAATTCTCCAATTTGAGCAAGCATAACTCCAACCTAAGAGTTGAGATAAACAACCAGATTAGGAAATCATGAAATGAAATTCTTCAAGAAAGAAAGAAACAGTCGGGTCTTCAACAATTATTCTCGTTCTATTGATTCTTTTTGTAATTTTGTACAAATCACCACTTCCACACGGTGTTTAAACCACAAGGTCTTTTTTTGTAGTTACACTCTTATGATGCTTGTACGGGATTGGAAAGCTGTTCTACACTAGTTTTTTTTAAGGCAGGGGGATTTCTCATCCCCCGGCCTTTAGGCTGTTACTTTTTATGAATATACATACCTACATTGTTTCCTATAAAAAATAATAATAATAAATAATAATAAAATTCTTAAGAAAAGCAGTGAATGAGCTTACCTGAAAAGAAGTTCTAATACTGTACCCAAATGCTTTTGCAACAATGGTAGAAACTGCTGTCTTGACGAACACAACCATCATGACAGATGCTAGCAAAATATCCAAATGGCTCCACAGAAAATGTACATGAATGAGCATTCCAATACTTGAAAGGAACAAAGCTGCAAACAAGTTACGGATTGGTTCCACCTATAAAGCAAGAGATCATCAAACTTTGTAAACCTTTACAACCATTTAAAATCCTAATGCAAGAAGGATTATGCCCGAGAAGATAAAATGCCAAAATTGCAGAATGACATTATGCTACAAAAGATGGATAGTGTCCTACAGATTAGATAAAGTCTGAAAAGAAGAAAGTGAAGAACAAATTAATAGATACTCATAAAAACATGGGTTCTTTTTAAGAACGGTAGATGTCTGAGCTAGCTTGAGCAACCTCAATTAATCCTAACCCTATAGTTATGTTTTGTATTACTTACTGTAGTTTTAACCCGACTTCAGAAGCATTAAAATACAACTTGCCACTTTTTAGTGTAGAAGAACCCATGGTGGTTTGAGAAAAAATGAAGATTTAAAAGAAGAATATACGATAGAAATCTTTGTCCATATATCATCATGACGAGCACAACTGAAGGAGCTGGCAGTATTCATTCATTGTCATTGCAGTACCTGATCTAAAGTATGTTGCCCGAATTCAGTGGTAGATACCATAACTCCAGCTACAAAGGAACCCAACTCAAGACTGAGACCCAACTTATCACTGCACTGAAAAGTTAACAAATGCACAAGTCTTAAATTATTTGATTTCAGTATGCAAATACAAAGTAACATACAGCAGTTTATGTCACGTTGCAGCAAGTCAACAATCCTAGGAGGTTCAACTTTACAAAGAAAATATATTATATAATTCTAATAAATTCTTCTATATCAATTTTATTTTGTGACCTTTCCCAAGCTCAATATTTAGATAATCAAATGCAGAATTAGTTATCCAAATAAAAAGAAAATAAACAAAACAAATATAGTATCAGAGGACTATTAACACTGAATATTGAGCAGAGCTAGTAGATACAATAAAACAAATCAATTTCTTTTCTAGGTTTTCCACCTTCCAGGAATGCATATCTCTTATATTCATCTCCAATCTCCATATTATCAACGTCTTGAGGCCTCTCTATCCAATATTGATCAATCACAAGTGTTGCAATTCCTTTATCCATTACCTGAATTCAAGTTTCTCACCATGCTCATAAGTAATCAACTTAACTTCTGAACTTCAATTTTTACACTCAGGACATCATCTATAATCCTTTTTAATCAATCAAACACTAGAAAGAGTCAAATTAAAAAAAATAAAAAGCCATGAAAGGTGCTCCTAGAATTAATGTTATGTGCTCTTTTGCAGCCACACTGAAGGGACCATCCACTAAAGGCTGACATCTATAGTCTAATCAATTTTAGAATGATGCACATTGGCTCAACGCCGTCATTGATCGATCTAAAAGGACTGATAAACAAGGTATAAGAACTGAGAAATAACTCAACAATCAGCAAGAATCATCTTTCTAATGTAGGATGAATCAATTAGTAGCCAAGGCACGGAAAATTAGACATGTGGCTTTACCCAAGCAGACAGCAAGCAGAATGCCACGGCAGCAAGCTGATACAGCTCATTTGTCTGAATTACAGAGAAAGGAAACAGTAAGCTGACTAGTCAGTCCAAAAACAAAGCTAAGAGAAGGACCCAGCTTATTGACTCACTTGAGACGACAGCTGCATCATCAACTTAAGAAAGCGGGGAACAAATGACCATGACAAAACAGATGCGGCCATGAGATATACAGACAAAACCAATAGCCTGTAAACAGTACACATTTTAAGCACTCAAACATCTATAAAGAAAGCTCAGGATCAACAAACAAAACCAGAAATATTTAAAAAAAAAAACCGAAGGCATTGAAGGCACAGCGATCTGCTTACAACTTTCCCATAGATATCATTCCTAAAAGAAGACCATTGTGACCACCCAAAACTGGGAGCAAGGCAAACAGCAAACCAACAGCACAATCCTGAATAAATCAGGATAAATAAATATACAGTAGAAAATCAAGACCTCTAATGTAAATGCTATTTTAAGTATAAATGATCATAGTTGCAATGACGGGCAGAATAATACCTGTAAGATAAGTGTTCCAATAGTAACTTGACCATGAAGAGTATTACTACTATTCCGTTCAACCAAGAACTTCACAACCTAATAAATGAAAAAGCAAATTAGAATACCATGTGCATGGTGTTCTGCACTTTAGTGTGAGCCAAAGCAAAAAAGATTGTTCGTGCAGTTAGAAAATATCATAAAGTTACCACTGCTGTCGACGACATTGATAGAAATGAACCAACAAATACCCCCTCGGACAGTTTAGCCCCACTTAACTGCATAAGTGGCAAAAATGTAATATTAGCTGACATTTTTACCAGACGTGTTTAGCCTTTTTCTTCCAGAAAAATATGCAGAGATTCAGATATTACCATCGCAATTATGCCAGACAAGAGCATAAATATGATGATCTGTAGAAAACCTCCCAAAACAGCAACAGCTCCCACAACTTTTAACTGCATGAGAAAGTTATGTATAAATGTAGTTCTTTCAAACATAGAGGGAAAATTAACACATTATTGAGTAAAGAAATAAAACTATCTAACTAATGAATATACCTTTGTCAAGGAAAACTCCAGTCCTAAAGCAAAAAGAAGAAATACAACACCAAATTGTGCCACTGTCTCAACCTGAGACAAAACCTATGCTTTTAAGTTTTAAGCATTAATGATAGAATGTCAAACATCAAATAAAGGCTCCTATTGGATGCATTCAAAAGCACAAGAATGTGATTACTCATTAGAAACATGTTTGTATATGATAGACTTTATTTATATTTCAAATAAAGCTACAGTGATTGATTAAAATGAAAAAAAAGTAGAAACGTAAAACTTTGCACAGGAATGGGGGGGAATATGGGGAAGGGTGGTGATTAATACGCGGCAAGAAATTTTTTTGATGCAGCAGAAGAAGCTTTAGAAATTTCCAGAGAGAGGGAAAGAGAGAGAGATATACGGAAGTGGTGGGAACATAAATAATTTTTGGATGCAACGCAAAAGCATCCTTTCATGTAGCCCATAAATAATTGGAAGTGAAGTTCTCCTCAAGCAGTTTTACAGAATACCAATAACATCTTAACTTGACATATAATGTGTAAATATGCATTCCAACTATACTATTAAAAATTGATATTGAATACATTTCCTCTGTTTCTTGGCCAAATATATATATATATATATATATATATATATATACTGTTAAAAATTTAATATTCAATTCAGACCAAATTACACAATTTAAGCATTCAATCATAGCAGCAGCAGGAGGGTATTGTGCTACATAGCTTGAAGTCAGAAAGATGTATGCTAAGCATATTAATTGCTACATGTATGAAGCAAACCTGGACCATCTCACTGATGAATTTTAGACCTCCCGGTCCAATGATTGACCCCGCAAGAAGATAGCCCACAATAACCTAACACATAATCCAACAAGTTTGTAATGATACTTTACATACAGTAGGCAGTGGACTGTGTAATAAATTACTTTGAGCAAAAAGATGCAAAACCAACCGGTTGCCCTAAACAAGAAAATATAATCCCTCCAACTGCGGCAGAAACAATAACCACCACCAAGTCTGAAATCAATCTGCAAGAATGGGATCAATGGAGCATGAAACATATCTCAACAACTTTAGCATAAACTTTTTCAGTGCAGTAAATAATGGGAAAGATAAAATCTAACCTCAAATCTACTTGAAGTACTGGATACTTTGATTTCTTGTTTGACATCACAAATACATTATCCTACAATCATATAACTTTTCATTAAAAAAATACCAGGAAATCGTACATAGAATGTCAGTCATAGTGTCCCTTCAGTATCAGTTACCAAGACTATTTCAAACTTACTTTTTTATCAATCAACGTTGTGACGTCATCAGAGTCCTCATTTTCAAGAGAGAAAACATCCTGCAATTGGAATGCCCTTGTCCCACTGTTCAATAACAGAAGCTAGCAAGTGAGAAATTTTTAGGAATGAAGAGCATGTAACATTAACTCCAACAGCTGGTATGTTCAAAAGAATCCAGCAGACTTTATATAATAGAACAATTAAGTACTTGAAGACAAAAGCAACTTTTTAGTTTCATACTTTGTCTTTTGACTCTCATTTTTCTTGCCTTTCTCATGCGTGATTTTAGCTACTGTCTCCAGTTCTGCCTGTAAATATAAAGAGTAAGAGTATCAGAAATTTGAGAAGTCAAATAATTCTTCGATCATATATTTCAAAGATCTTATAGTTACAGTTGGAACTTATGGCCTAAGATTTCTAACTTGAACTTTCCTATCAAATAAGTTTATCAATACCTTAAGAGGGAGGGAGGGAGGGAACTTAACTGAAATTTAGTCATTGAGTGTTGAGTTTAAAAGTTCCAGAGCATATGATAACAATATTACTATATACAACATGCTATCAAACAAATTGCAGACTAGAAGAAAATATCTTTCAGAATCTCAAGATCTTAAATGCCCTAAGAAAACTAAATATTTTCATTTTCTAACATGCATTGCCCACACAACCAACATGGCGACAAGAATAGCACTCCTAGGCTCCTAGCAAAATTATTCATTTAAAAGGTTCCTTAACATAGAGAATGCTTAAGCTGCATCTTAGGAAAGATATACAACTTACTTAAACGTCACAATCAAGCCAAAGAAATTCTTTCAAAAATTGAAAAACAAGTCCAAACCCGACTTTAAAGGTCTAGACATATTTTAAGTTTCATTGGTTTTATGGGATATAAAACCAACCTCCTGATCAGCAACGCTGCTATTAAAGCTGCTTCCACCAGAACCTAGTAAAAGTCGAAGGTACAATCAAATGTTAATTGAGCAGCCAAAAGATGAAGAAAATTCAAAACAGAAAATGATATGCTTGTTGTTGAATTTAATTAAAAATAAGAAAATGAACAGCCCCTGGAAGAATAGCAAAGAATAGAATAATTATCAGTCCAATCCCACTACGAAAGCAGATAACAAAACTAAAGCTATGCTTCACAGAGAATTTTATCTTCTTCGTGCATTATCATTCACCATGCATAATCCATGGAACGATAGTAAATTGTTCAAATACTACACTGATTCTAAATATCTACAGTTTGGTTAATCCCATGAAGATGCTCACTAAAAGTCAAAACATTAGAGAAAAGAAAAAAAAAATGAAAACACCATTCTGATGTTTGGTTCAATATGAATTTGAAAACTATTAAGTATTAGTTTCTTCCTAAAGCCACTTCAAGTTCACAAGTTAAATAATATCTATTTGTAGTATCTTCTTGGGTTATTTAGAAGTAAGGCTTTGAAAGGTCAGAAACATGTATTTGTTCAAAAATCATAGAATGAGAACTAGAACCACTCTCTATCTCATGGAACCATGTCCAAACACATTTATTATCTCACTATAATCTCTCGAATCTCTTCATCCTTACACTTGCTACTCTTGGTACGTACTCCTCTGCTTATCTTAAAATTCCAAATATTTGTCTCTATCATTTTCTTTTACCACATTCTTTCCCGGTACCATAGACTGTACACCATCTTCCCTATTATAGCATGACCACTATATTTCTAATCACACTCTTTCATTGCAAACCTTTTCTAAATTCACTCTAGCTGTATACACAATCTTGACAATCAGAACGCCTGTTGCATGCGCTTCTTTCCATGACTCGCTTCCTCTCGCAGAATACTGCTCTGAACCACCAAACAATACGGTTTATGTCCAATTGATCTACCACTGTACACTTTTCACTGTACCGCATTTCATTTGCTAGCTACTGTCCTCTTTCTATCCGCTACGCACACTCTCTTTCTCTTCCAAATACACAAACTTCCTTTTCAATAGACACGACAAAATTTATCAAAATTGTAAGACGTTCTTTTTCAACAAAAATAAAAAGTGGGCTATCATTTTCCTTCTGTTATTTGATTTTTTTTGGGGAAAAAAATCATAAAATAGTTAATAAAACAGTTAGCGTTATTCTACTGAAAAAAAGAATTGAAAACAAAGGACCCCAAGCAGCAAATTGAAAGGAAAAAAAAAATCTCGTAATCAAAATCAAACAAATCATCATGACTATACGTCTATATTAACTTGGTCCACTAGAAGGTTCTTGATGTCTCTTCTAAGTTCAAACAAAGCATAGAAAAATTCAATTCCCCTGTTCTTAGTTTTCCATGCAAACAAACGTGAGGGGGAAGGGGGAGGAGAGCTGAAGTCCCAAACCTTCAGGCAGATCGTTATCAGAAAACTCCTTCTCGAGCACCTTATCGAACATTTGGGCAATGCTACCGTCACCGGAAGTGGGTGCCGTTGAGTTAATCAAGTTTCCATAAAATCTCTCCCTAATTTCACTATCCGATCTGGGTGAGACATGAATTGGCGCAGAAATCAAAAGCACGACGATACCAAGCCAAGATCCAATTGCTCCTCCTCTTCTCGCCATAAGGAATCGATAAACCATGACAAAAATGCAGGAGACAGAAAGAAAGGTCTATCTCAAAGTTTGAAAATGCTTCAACTCCATTAAGGAAAGACGAGAGAGGGAATTGGGGCAATTTGGAGTAATATTACGATGAAGGGGAAGGGGGGAAACTACTGGAAACTGCGCCAAGATTTGATTGATTTGGAGTAATTTGTATGATTTTTGATTCCTGATTGTTGATTGCAATTTGAGTGGCGGGATCGATGAAGCTGGTGGCTTCCGTTTCACGAAGTTGTTGCGTCGGATCGTTAGGTATGGGGCATCACACCGGAAAACTCCCATCTCACGTCACACGCTTTACTCCGCACGTGAGCTGCACCTTCAGGCTTCGGCAAACAAAAATTGGTCAGTCTATTCTATTTTTTTTCTTTTTCAGTAAAAATATAATCAGTTTTTATTCCGAACTTTAACCCATTTTAATTTTTCTCTCTAAATTTGTTAAATAAATGGTACTGTTATTTGGGTTCAACTCACATTCTCCCAATAATTTTACCAAAAAAGAAAAAAAGGTATAAAACTTGCCTAACTCGTTACTTTCCATCCAAATCAAGTCTGACACGTAGAATATCAGTCAAATTTTTATGCCCAAAAAATTTAATTAATTAAACTTGCAACTTCTACAAAATAAATAGGAGTTCTTAATTGCTACATTGAATCAACGGTTTAACATAAGATAAAAATTACAATACTTATTTATTATTGATGTAAGATTACATCATTTATCCAAAATTTAAGGTATAATTTGATTAAATTTAAAATTTAAGGTAAAAATTGATATATTTGAAGAAGATTTGCTAGGTCTTTAAAGTTTCATAGGTTAGTTCGCATGATAGGTATGACCTTATACCTTAGCAGAATAAGGTATATGATTATATTGAGCTATCATGGTCGTTTCATGTGTTGTGTCAGATTTTACCCTCCAACAAACATGTTGAAGGGTTTCTCGTTATAGTTCTTCACTCACTCACACTATCCTTCACAATTCCCCTACTCTTCTAGTCGCATTGTCATGGATGCAAAACGAAGATCCCCGTCTCTCCCCGGCATCCCTTCCCTTACGTCTCAGACCGCCATACGCTAATTGCATCCATTCAGATGAGAGAGGAAGATCCGCTAGCAATCTTTTTATTATTTTCTTGTTTAAACTAATCGAAGTTAGGAATTTTTGCTTCGTTGTCTTCCTCAATTAAGAGAAGATTTTTTTTTGTTAGATTCAGCGGGAGAGAGATACGAGTGATAGATAGAGGGAGAGGAAATAAACTTCATAGGGCAAAAGTTTGGAGGAAATTGAGGGATTGGGAAAAAATTGAACACTCAAAATCAAATTTTGAGAGCAGAGATAAAAGAAATAAAAATATAATAAAGTTGAAATAGTAAAAATAACCATAATTATTATCTTGAAAGAACTTTGGGGATGAGAAATTTTGGGGTTCAAGTTGGGAACAAATTTGAACTTAATAATTTTTCTCAAAAAAAAAAAATTGAACTTAATATTTTGATTAAAAAATAAGTTAATAAATAAAAATAGAATAAAATACAGAGAGAGAAATAGTCATTGTAATTACTCGACGGAATTTGAGAATGAGAAATTTAGACATTTAAGTTGGAAAAAAAAATAGAACTGAATATTTTGAATTTGAGACGATGCAAGATCCATACTCCATAAAAAAATTGAACTAATAAATTATTAAACTAATTAATAACCAACTCAACAAAAATTAATAACCAACTCGTCCCTTTGCTTTGAATTCTCCGGATCTAAAAACTCAATTAGGCAATAAATATCATAATAGTTATCCTCGTAGAATTGCATAAGAAAAGACCAAGACGAACATCAAATGAAGATGATTGAAAATTAAATATATCGCTTTATAAGTTACAAATATGAAAACAAAAACAAAATTCAATCAAAAGTATCGTCTTTGCTTACGCTCATTAAATCTCTCGAAAATTCCGTCGAGCGCAATATCAAACGCATCTTTAATACTCTCCAGTCCCTCGGGAGTACTCGCATAAACTATTTTCGGTATCGTTTCTATCACTTTCTCTCTCATCTTCCTCACTTCCTTTCTACTAAATTTCTCCAGCACTCCTTTAATGGACATCGACCCATTCCGAACCTCCTTATGATCAATAAAAACCGAGTAACTACTCGGCTCGGCCGGCAAGAACCACTCGTATTGCCCGTAAGCGGTTCTCTCCCAAAAAATAACCGGAATCGAACCGGCCACCATGCAGTCGAACACTGATTTTCTCGAATACGAATCCCCTTTCGGCTGCAAGCAGAAATCCGAGTCGAGAAACGTCTCGAGAACTG